TTCTGTTGTCGAATGTGGGAAGAAGAAACTCTTCCATTGAATCATGCTTTGCTGTTCCATGTAACCCTTTCTTGTTCCATGTTGGGACAAAATTGTCTACTTAAGGTAAATTGAGCAGAAACAATTACTGGCATGAATCCTTACCAAAACTGGCACGGGGTTCTAACTCATTTCTGCCCCTCTGCTGCCCCCCTGTGGTTGTTTCCTTGAGTTTGCCATCTCAGCTCTGGGACAGGTTCTTTCTCTCCCAACCCCCACTGCCTTATCACATTTTCCTAAGCAGATTAGGTCATGTACAACTAACTAGTAGTTTTGAAATAGTTCAACTGTGTGACAAAAATGCTGTAATACATTGGAAGGTAAATGAACAGCTCCACATGGTTTCCATGTCTGGAAACTGCGTTCCGGAACCTTCCCCATGAATCCTTAGAGAATACCTCCAGCTAAGCAAACTGCCTCATCTCATACAAACCTTGCTCTCTGTGTGCGCATCTGGGATGTGCTTTAATCTTAGAATAGGGAATACAGTCTGCTTGGTCCTTGCTACGTTTAACTCGCGCATTTCCCATCGCTTGAGACCCCACTGACCCTACCTTTCTTCCCATGTCTCAAAGGAAACATACCAACCACATCCAAAAAGCCCCCAGCCCTTTTAAAGTGCCTGTGAGCAGAAAACAACGCGTTTCAGAGTCAGTTTGAATGTGAGCCCTATACCAAGCACTCGTTTGGATAACCTCATAGATTTAAAAAAAACCTATACACTGAAAAGGTATTTACATTTTTACTGTTAGTTTCATTAACATATCATGTATGCTAAGCAGAAATCTTGAATTAAAGTGGCTTCTGTTGGGAGAAACAGGATGACAGAGTTGAAGCCCTGGGTTGGCATACAAGCTCGTACACCACATGTGTGACCTCAGCTTATAGAGGAAATACCGTTGCTCTAAAGACCAATGGAGATTTTGCATGAGGAGACTCAACACGTGCCTATGCAAAACAAGATCTCTGTGTGAGTTAATAGCATTCTTATGAAAAATATGGTACTTCCATCTTTACAAACAAGGCAAGACTTTCATAAGCTGGCAAAATTTTCCACCGCTCCCCCCCCATAAAATTGTAAACCAAATGCTAGAGAATTTGCATAGATTTCTTCAATTGCTATCATTTACACATGCTATAGTTTGTTAATTTTTCTCCTGGTTAGTAGAATTTTGTTTTCAATGAGAAAATAAGTCACATTTGGAATAAAATAGCTTAAAAATGATTACTATCTTTAGCTTTTAGTGAAGCCTATCTTAGAAAGCAACATAACTGGCAATAAAATAGCACCCTTGAAGACATACTTCACTTTCAACTGAATTTATAAAATAGTTTTTGAATATAATTTTACTAACTTTTATTTCAACAAAGTATTTTGATAAATAAAATAGAGTAGTACAAAAATACATTTGTACTTTTTTATTTTTTTTTGAGAGGTTTTTGCTATAGGGCGCATGTGCTCACCAGAAAGACAGAGAGAGACAGGGAGACAGAAAGTGAGAAATCACCCCCCGGGGGGATAGCCACACTGCAATCCCTTCTCCTCTCGGGATCTTGGGCATGCAAGCACACACGCCCGGCGTGAGATTAAGCCACCAGGTCTGGGACTCAAACCAAGGTCGACTACATGGGAGTCCAGCGACATAGCCGTTACACTAACTGCTA